ACACGATGACCCATTGAGGTCCCTTCTGACCCTAACATCTATGAATCTATGAAACAGCATCAGACTCTACATTCTTAGACCATGATTGCTAAGAGAAAGGGTATGTCTATTTCACCTGCAATTTCTTTCATGTAATCTTTTAAACGCTCTGTCAATTCCACGTGCTCCAAGTTTGGAGCAATAACTGTAACACTAAAGGAAACAGATTTTGAGATAAAGAAACCAATGGCACATCAGAGAGAATCTCTCTCACAAGTCACCAACTTTGTCTCTAAAGCTTAGCTTTCCCATACTAACACTTCCCTCCCAAATCACACTTCACTGACAATGACTCCTTTTCTCCATGAGTCTGCCATATTGATCTACCAACCTTGCAAACATAAAAGTTTCTTCTGAAGATAAAAATGATTTGGAAATAAGTGTTGAAAACCTCACAAAAGCAAAATGAAGGTGACCAATTTCAATGAGAAATATTCTCTTCTAACCTCTGATTCAGATACTGAGTATATAAAAGGCTAAAAAGAAAAAAGAAAAGATAATGCTCTAAGTGAAAGTCTCCAAGAGTTCTTGCCTGAGAAATTTTCCCAAGTAGGTCTTTAGAAAGGAATATTCTATCTTTTTACGGTTTCACGTAACATTATCAGAGGAAAGATCATATACTGCGAGTTTCTCACTTCTAGGCAATTGACACAAGCTGTTAAGGTTTTGGAGGACAGAAAAATTCAACTATCTATACATTTTCTGGAATTAAAAAAAAAAAAAAGGATTTAGTCAGAGTAAAGTTAGCTTGTAGTCCTGAGTGTTGGATGCATATTTCTTTAAATAAAAAAAAATTTTCACCTGAGAAGAGGAATTGGGATCTGCCATGTCTTTTAGCTGGAGTTTGTGCTTGAGATGGAGCATTTTTACCTCCTAGACTCTCACATAAATTTTCAAGAAACCCATAGGACAGTCCTAGCTGAGGAAATAGATTAAGAAAGGTGAGAACAATCCCAGGTTTCCAGAAGGGCCAAAGTCATGGAAACTACAGAATATTGTTGAATTATGTCATTGTGGCTGTTACTTGGGTTGGATTGGTAGTCAAACTACATTTGACTTCAGATAATATGTATTATTAGATCATTTTCCACTTAGTCTTCTAACTGACAAAAGCCTCACAGCATAGCAGAACTAATGGCATAGTGGCATCTCTGACATTTGTTCATTAGGTGCTAATTCTCCCTTTAGCCCGTAATTCTAGGCGAAATCCAAACATGGGAGCATGGTAAGGGAGGAAACTCAGATTAGATAATCTAAAATACCTTGCAAATGCACAATTGGTGGGGTTGGGGTTGAAGAATGGAACAGCACCCTGCAAAACAAAGGGAATAATTAGAAAATATAAAATACCCAAGAGAGGCAAATATGGGAATATGAGCAAGATGGATGGTCCCTGGCAAATACAGCCAATATAAGTGGGGTGCCAGCATTTGCTTAGTCTTATTATGCAAACTATATTATGCACTTGTACATTCAACATAAGTGGTATCAAAATATTTGGTGGCATTCTTAGAATTTGAAAGAGGCCAGGAAAGAGGCCAGGGTATGCATAAGAACTAAAATATGTAATACTTATAGCATAAGATATATTGTTGGCTCCTAGGTTTAAATACTGTTAATACTCTGGTACTGAGCATGCGTATAGAGATAAAAATGTTTACACCTGGCTTAAACATAAGGCAGCATTGCTGTTATAGTTGTAAACACCAAGTATCACGTACTAGTGGACAACCTTGATGTTTTTAATATTTGCAATGAGTTATTTTGCAAAACTATTGATGCTGGCACCTTCTTTTGTATACATTTGCCTCAGAAAGAGTATGGATAAAAGACCTTCATAGGAAAGCCAAGCCGAAGTTTTCTCCTATTCCACAAATGAGAGGAAAATCCAGTCAAGCCATGGTCTTGTACACCTCAAAATCAGGGTCTTTTTAGTGGGGTAAAATTAAGCATACAGCATTCCTATAAGAGTGGAACATTCTCCTCCCTGACTTCCCCAGCAGATAGCAAGCTACATCATCCACAAAACAGGATTCACTGAGATCACGAGAGGGGCAGAATGGCCGTAAATCCAAGATGTTGGATTGGTGAGTGGGAAGGCAATGGCTCATCATATGCTTTAGAAAGAACTCTGACAATTGTAGAATCCAAAAACAAAAGCACAAGTAAATAGTTTTTTAACCTGAATCCAAGTACTGCATTGCAACATGCAATTTTTTGTCACGCTAATTAATGTCATTCTCTAGAAACAATGCATCAACATGCTCTGCTTTCTACTCGGAAAGATGCATCTGACTGGTTCTTTCTTGCTACAGACTAGGCATATTTATTAAGGGAAACAGCTAATGCTGCTTGTTAATTCTACTTTCATTTTGCACATCATGCAGGGGGCATGACTAAGACTACATTTTATTGTACAGATCTCTGTAGAAATGGCCACTGACTCTCACTGTAGTATTGT